TAGTGAGTCTAAATGAGAGGTATCTTCTTACTTTTTGAGCATACGTGCGTAATTAGAGCTCATCCTAAAGGATCAATTGCTAAACGATATCTACGGAAGAATGCATGAATTTTTGTGCACAATATCTAATGATGTGGAAACCAAATCTAGTCGACCCGTGATGTGAACAAGTAGTGTGATAATTTGGTCTTCTGCTATTGGTGAAAACACAAGCTTTTATCTTGATAATACTCTGGGTACAAGCTCTATCGGTATCATCTTATTCATACAAGCTGCCGGTTCAACCTTCATAAAAGTAGGTTAAGTCACTCATCTCAATATTTTATTATGTTTATTATTGATTTTTCTAACAAAATTTTTTTTTTTTTTTTTTTTGTTTATTTTTTGTATTCTAAAATTCATTCTTACACAAAGCGAACACCTTTGAGTACTTAACTTATAAATGGCCTCGTGATTGCACGATTCATCGCATTCTGGCTTGTGAATTCCCTATCACATTTGAAACTTTTCAATTTTTTCTGGTCAAGATACATGTATGTACATTTACTCCGTATAGAGGTTTCTAGTACTTACTGTTCAACTCATTTTACAATTTTTACATTTTCGTGTTAAGAAATAGGTTCCATAACTTTGCGAAGGACTACTGATGTTCATATTTTCTGGAAGAGCTTATTCTATTGGCAATGGTCTCATAACTTGGCAAGAGGATTGTTCAACGATGAGTATTAATACGAATGCGGTTTCGCTTGGGTATTCGTTAGTTTTTAAAGGCCGTACTGGTAATGTAATGTATCGTCTGAGCCACACAAAATTGTGGTGTGTTAGTCCTTTTGAATGGGCATGAACGATCACCATAATTTATGTCTATCTGTTATAAAACTATATTGTTCGAAGACAAGAATCCTCGTTGTTGGTGATGGATCTAGTTTGCATATTACTTATTTATTGCGACATTGACGATATTGTTTGAGATTCGATTATTCCAATGAAAAGAAACATTGTGTTTAAGTGTGATTGAGATTGACAACCATTCACGGGAAAGAAGAAGATGTCTTCAATTTCACGTTGGTGAACCTTCAATCATTTTCAGTGTACCGAAATTGATCGAATTACCAAGTGAAACCTTTTTCATCTTGGCGTCCCAAGCCAGAACAAGCTTTTGGTATTTGTTGCAGGATACCCGTTACAACCAGATCCTGCAAGTCGTGCTGTGACAGATTAGCTTGTCTTCCCAAAGAGTTTTATTGATATTGGTTCGACTGTACCACAAATCAGCCAACATGAGTCCCAAACAATTGGAAGAAAAATACTATTCTTGCTGTCGATTGAAGAAAGTGGAATTGGGTGAGGTAAGACGCAGAAGGGGGAAACAGTTGATGTTTCAAATACGTCTGATACGTGGTGGGGGAACATTAGTTAATTCAATTTAAGGCCAAGGATTGTGTGTTAATCATCCAATTCTTAATTTACTTTGTCTTTGTAATTAAGTATTAGTTACAATTAATGTCATCTTATGAGTTTGACGAAAACCATTGTCTATGTTATCTAATGTAATAATGTTTTATATTTTTGCAGATTATTAGGAAAGAAGCTAGAAGCCTGATCTCCCCGCGGTTCGACAATGTGATATACTGTCTGATGTGCTACATAACAGGACACAGTTAGCACCACCATCAGAAGGAGGCTTCACAACGTTCATTTTTACTATCTTATATTCGATTTTTTCATCATTATTTTATAATCTTCTCAATTTTATGTTTTTTGATATTTCTAAGGCCGACTTATCGGAGGCTTAGTGCACCACAGCGCTACCACTTTAACTCAGCCTCCACGCCTACGCAATCGGTGCGTATATCCACATTCTCATGTAGCTGCCACCAACTAGCTGCCTGTCGTGTATCATTCAGTATAAGCCATCCGACAGTAGGATATATATCTTTTTTTAGAAATTGCTTTGATTTTGTATGAAAATTATTTAAACATACATTATTTATGCTCGTTAATTATTAACTTGTTTTATCTCTTGTATTTTACAGACCCTTCGACTTCTTCACAGGCCACCTCAGGTTTATTTGATATGATTTGTATTCACATTATTTTTAAATTTGCATTTTTTATTTCTCATGCATATGTTTATTGTTATTTGTACTCACAGGTCATGTTAGTTCTTCATCCAACCTCGACATAGGCGTGGTAGAGGATGTGCCAAGGGCATTAAAGAGTGGGGTACTGGAGTAAAAAAAAAGCTAGACATACAATTTGATGGAAATTACTGCCCAATAGGGGATAACGTGGATTAAGTTAACTACTCAACTGGCACTTGAGGGAATCTGCAGAAAGACGAGAATCCATATACACCACCACCGAACAAGACCAGGTATAAAATGTATCTTTGCTTTTCTAAGTAAATGAATCTTTGCATAATTTAGATCTCTAAGTAAAGTGAGGCTTGTGGGAGACGGGGGCTGAATCGGGTTCCCGGTTTGAGAGTTAGAGCCGGATTTCACTTTAGGCAAACTAGTCCTTTAAGAAAACTTGAATTCGGGGAAGTTAACGCCCCAAAATTACCAAAACGGCGTCGGATTTTTAGGCATAAATTACCTGCACACACGACCTCCGCCTAGGCACGGATAGAGACTTGTGTGAAGATAGTGGGGCTCGAATATCAGATTCATCTTCTCTCTTTTTTCTCCTCCTTCCGATTTCGTAATGTTGTTTGGTTGCTTTTTCGAAAGAATTTTGTAGGATATCGAGAGTTAAGCTTGTTGGTATTTGAACCTGATTCGAGCCCCATCTTCTCCCACAAGTTCCTCTCGTGCCTAGGCGGGTCTTTTGTATCGTGTGTGCCATGTTCGATTGCTTAAACGACGCCGTTTGGTGATTTATGGGGCGTTAACTCCCCAGAATTTCAAGTTCTTAAGGAAACTAGTTTGCCTAATAAAGTGAAATCCGGCTCTAACTCTCAAACCGGGAACCCGATTCGAGCCCCGTTTTCTCCCACAAGTCTCACTTTAACTTAGAATGTCTAAATTATGCAAAGATACATTTTAGCTTAGAATGCAAAGATACATTTTATACCTGATCTTCTGGTGGTGGTGTATATGGATTCTCGTCTTCTGCAGATTCCCTAAATGCCCGGTGGCCACTCGATGCATCAGGAACCTCCTTCGGTTTGGTGTCTGTATCTTGGTATGTGGTTTGGTCTGTGTCTGTTAATTATTTTGCTTTGAGTACCCCACTCTTTAATGCCCTTGGCACATCCTCTTCCACGCCTAGTCGAGGTTGATGAAGAACTAACATGACCTGCGATATACAATAACAATAAACAATATGCAATGGTAATAAACAAATGCAAATTTAAATAATGTGAATACAAATCATATCAAATAAACCTGAGGTGGCCTGTGAAGAAGTCGAAGGGTCTGTAAAATACAATGAGAATAAACAAGTTATATATAACGAGCATAAATAAATGTATGTTTAAATAATTTTCATACAAATCAAAGCAAATTTATATACCTGCGGATGGCTTATAAGCTGATGATGATAGCTGCTGTGGTGGCACTGATGGTGGACGCACCGATGGTAGGCGTGGAGGCTGAGTACATGGTAGCTGCTGTGGTGCCACTAAAGGCCCCTCCGATAGTGGCCGATGTGATGCCTCCTCTGATGGTGGTGCTACTGATGTCCTGTTATGTAGCACATCAGACATCATGCGCCGGGGATGATCAGGCTTCCTCTTCCTTCCCATAATAATCTGCAAGCAATATAACATTAATTGACATTAGAAACATAGACAATGGTTTGTCGTCAACTATAATATGACATTAATTGAACTAATACAATTACAAAGACAAAGTAAATTAAGAAATTGATGATTAACTACAACCTTGGCCTTAATTGAATTACTAATGTTTCCACCACTATCAGCGTATTTGAACATCAACTGTTTCCCCTTCTGCGTCTTCCCTCACCCAACCAACTTCTTCATCACGAAGCATTATATTTTCTTCCAATTGTTGGCTCATGTATGGCTCGATTTGTGGATCAGTCGAACTCATATCAAATAAACCTCTTTGAGACATCTTCACCACGACTTGCCAGTCTGGTTGTAACGGGTCTGCAACATACCAAACTTGTTCTGCTTGGGACGCCAAGATGAAAGTTTCATTGGTAATTCGATCATCTCGGTACAACAAATGATTGAAGTTCACCAACGTGAAATTGAAGACATCTTCTTTCTTTCCGTGAATGTTGTCAATCCAATCACACTTAAACAACACATGTTTCTTTTCATTGGAATATCGAATCTCAACAATATCTGTCAATTGTCCATAATAGTACACAGACCCCACACGAGGATTCTTGTCTTTTCGACTAGCATAACTTATGGTATCTGCCTTCAAAGCTACACCACAATTTTGTGTGGCTCGACGATCATCCATGGCCTTTACTCGATACCGAAACCCATTCAGTATATACCCGTTGAACCTCCTTGCCAAGTTATGAGGACCATTTGCCAATAGAATAATCTCTTCAGAAAATATGACATCAGTAGTCCTTCGCAAAGTTTGGACCTATTTTACACGAAAATGTAAAATTTAAAATGTAGTTCGACGTAAGTAACTAGAATCTATAGAGTTAAATACATACATGTTCCTTGAACCAAATGTGAAAAGTTTCAAAATGTTCACGCCGAAGCTGATGATCGTCAACACGAGGCATTTTAAGCTTAAGTACTTCAAGGTGTTCGCTGTGTAGATTGAAATTTTAGCAATACAAAAAATTTTGTAGAAAATTCAATAAAACATAATAAAATATTGAGTGAGTGACTTAACCTACTTTATGAATGGTTGAACCGCGCTTGTATTGAATAAGATGTACCGATGAGCTTGTACCCAAGAAGTATTATCAAGATAAAAGCTTGTGTTTTCACCAATAGCATGACCCAAATTATCAGCACTACTATAGTTCCTCACGGGTCGACTAGATTTGGTTTCCACATCATTGAGATATTGTGCACAAAAATTCATGCATTCTTCCATAAGATATCGTTTAGCAATTGATCCTTTAGGATGAGCTCTATTACGCACGTATTGC